GACTAACACCCAATATACTCTGGCAAATGGATGTCTCCCACCTTCCTGAGTTTGGTTCATTGCAATATGTTCATATTTGCATCGATACCTTTAGTGGTTTAATTTGTGCTACTCTTCAGTCTGGAGAAGCTACTAAACATATCATTGCTCATCTTCTGCACTGCTTCTCTATCTTAGGAACTTCCTCCTATCTAAAAACAGATAATGGCCCTGGCTACATTTCCCAGGCCTTTAAAAATTTCTGCTCCACCCTACAAGTGCAACATTCTACCGGTATCCCTTATAATCCTCAAGGACAAGGAATAGTTGAGCGAGCTCACCTATCCTTAAAAAGCACCCTACAAAAAATTAAAAAGGGGGAGTGGTATCCCACAAAGGGCACCCCAAGAAACCTGTTAAATCATGCACTCTATGTTTTAAACTTCCTCACCCTGGACTCAGATGGCATCCTGAATTGAAAAAGCAATATGCCATGGTAAAATGGAAAGATCCCTTAGACAATTCCTGGCATGGCCTAGACCCAGTTTTAATCTGGGGAAGAGGATCCGTCTGCATTTTTTCACAACAACATGATGCCGCCAGATGGCTCCCAGAGAGACTAGTAAAACAGGTTAATAAAGATCCCTCCAAGGAGAGAGAGACTCCTTGAGAAAAGAATTCTCTTTCTTTCCACAGATAAAGGTTCATGGCTCGTACCGGTTGGAAACTGCTAGGTGCCATCATTCTCCTTGCAATCCTGGTCATCTCTGTTACCATCATTGTTTTGATCTTTGTAGACCGTGCATAAGAACTACAGTGCAACTCTTCAGGATGCGGTTTGTGCTAATCATCTTCATATTCCTTGTGTTTGTTTCACCCCCAACACTAGGAACCCTATCCAACACCCACACCACATGGAACTACATGTGGCTAGTCCTTAACGGACAGGGTAACCCTGTATGGGCCACCTCCACACTCACCAATGAGCAGCCCTGGCCCACATTATACCCAGACATGTGCCAGATCGCGCTGGGGGCACCAGGCATTTGGGGCCTGGAGGGGCATGATGCCTACCTAGGCAAGCCAGCCCCTGATGCAAAAGTAGGGGCTACTCAGAGAAAGGGTTGTTCCGACAAGAGCCAGAGGGCCCAGCTCAGGACCTTAGAATTCTATGTCTGCCCCGGCTTCCACCGTGCCACTTCCCTTAATCCAACATGTGGTGGCCAGGACTATTTCTACTGTAAAAGTTGGAGCTGTGAAACCACAGGCAATGCCCAATGGAATCCCTCCTCATCATTGGACTATATAACTGTTAAGTACAACTTTTCTCATGCAAATTATTGGCTCGATCCCATCACCATGCATTACAAAGCCTGTGACAACAAATGGTGTAATGCTTTAAAAATCTCCTTCATGGAGAAATGAAAGCAGGTCACTAGATGGGCTCAGGGCTATTCCTGGGGACTGAGGCTGTATAACTCAGGGTACGACAGTGGGCTCATATTTAAAATCAAGCTCCTAAGAGAACCCCTCAATCAACACAGACCCAATCAGGCTGGCCCCAACCCTGTTCTGACAAATAATGAATGCCCACCAGCCATAACATCAGCGCCTGTTGCCCCCAGCTACAGTACTACTACACTACACAATACCTCTCTTCTTCAGCCTAGAACAGAGGTTCCTCTACCCTTGTGGAGTCTCTCTCACACAAAAACATTATCCTACAACTCCTCAATGCCACATTTCAGGCTACTAGGGGCACCAACCATAGCCTAGGAGATTGCTGGCTATGTTATAATTCCCGCCCTCCTTTTTATGAAGTGTTGGTGACCCCTCTGCCCAACAATTCTTTCAGCTACTCGAACTCCTCTTCCTCTTGTTCATGGCCAGAGAAGCACCAGAGCGGCCTTACCCTGTCGCGAATAGTGGGCCGAGGCACTTGCGTTACACCCACTGGCCTGCCTCTGACAACATATCTCCCCTATTGCAGCACCACCATCACCCCTGAAATTAGCTCCAAGCTAATTTGAGCCCCGTCCAACACATGTTGGATTTGCA